CGGGAGCTGCTGCCGCCAGCGCCGCCCCCACCGCGGACCGGACCGCGCTGCCCCGCAGGTAAGAAGCGGCCGGGCCAGGCCGGGGGTGCCGCTGCTGCCCCTTCCCGCTCCGCGCCCCAGCGCCCCTTTTCCGCCCCGAAGTTGCAGTAGGTGCCCTGGGACGTCCTCCTGACGCGGCCACCCCGTCCAGGTCCGCGCGGTGCGGGAGGCTGCCCGCGCTGCTGCGGCGAAAGCGGGGGCTGAGGGGCTGCGGCGCCCCCGAGCCTCCTCCTCCCCCCGCTCCGGGCCGAGCTGCAGCTCCTGCGCTCGTCTCCCAGGGCCGGGAGCTGCAGCGAAGTGAGGCAGCTGGAGCCAGTGGGGTCTCAAAGCTGGAAAAACAACACCCCCCCCCCCAAAAAAAAAAAAAAAGGTTTCAAGGTGTGAAAATTTTGCCTGGTTTTGTTCGCTTAACTTGCAGCTGCCCGCCTCTAAAGGTTCCTGGGGTTAAGGAAGCTAGAATCCTTGCTTGTCGGATGTTTTTCTTGGAAAATTATTTTGTTAGTCTCTTTGAAGCTCAAGAGCAAGTTGCAGCCTCTGCGGTTGCAGCACTGAGGCCAGCCTTTTCAGTGAAAGGGCTTTAAAGAGGCTTCTTGTTCTAAATCCTTTATACCTCCCCATTGTATCCTCTGTGGACTTCTAAAGAGAAGCTCCTTTTTTCCCCCACTTGGTGTAGGTGGTCTGGAAAAAGGAGGGAGGGAGCAAGGGTAATGCCAGGACAGTCGGCTCCAGGCAGAGCCCAGAAGGGAGGTCCCACACTGTAGAACAGGGGTCGGCAACGCCAAAAACACTCCCCAAAACACACACGCCTCCACTTGGAAGATGTTGGCCAGCCAGGGGTGGCCCGATCCCTGTTGTGTCCCTGCCTCCTTCCCACTGTCCACCCTGAGGCATGCGTGCCAAGCAAAATGCCTTTGCATATCGCACTCTGGCACCTATGCCAGCAGTTGCCTCCCCTGCTGTACAGTCTCCCTTCTGGCTCGTGCCTGTAGTGTACTATCCCCAGCATGGTATTCCACCAGCATATTCTTAGCATTTTCCTTCTCCTCCCCAGTGCAGGTTTTCTTCAATTGTGCCAGCAAAGAACTTTATTGATTATGAGAATTATTGGAAACATAAAGAAAATGATTGTCTTTCTACGGTTTAGCCTCTGACATTACCAAGGCGGAAACAACCAAAGGAATTTCTATGAGACAACACACTTATAGGTAAGATTCTCAAACCACAGTGACTATTGATCATTTTCTGAAACAGAACTATTGTGGCTGCTGGACCAGCAGCAAATTATGAAGTGAAAATGTGCTTTATATCTGATTATTTTCAGTGTCTGGAAGGATCGTGTATGAAACTAGAAATCATTTTCTGAAATTTTCCTGTATATACTATATTGTCAATTCTATTGTGTCAAAGTGGGCACAACAATCACAGAAAGATTTCATTGTTAAAATTTTAATTCTTCAAATAGGTATGCTAATGATTAAAAAAGACATCTTTGGAGGAGATGTGAAATAATGGTTAATGTCACCTGAAAGAGATGTAATGGTAGATTTCAACTATTTAAATAAATTCCACACACTCTAGGAGGTAGTGGCACTGTAAAATATATATGTGATTAATCTTTGGCACATGTAAGAGAGCCAATAAAGGTAAATGACTATACTCCAGTCTTTTTAAAAAGTGCTGTTTATTTTTGCACAGGGTCAGCATGCTTCCTTCCCCCAACAAATTCAAAGTAAAAGCAAAGTGTACTTCTTGTTTTTTGCTTTTCTCCGCCTTCCTCTTTCTTCCCTCTGCTTCTCACACTTAACCTGTATTGCTCTTCATTTGAGGAAAGGAAAAGATGGATGAAGGATGTGCACTAATCCAGACTGGCCATCTTTATTCCCATATTCTTTACTTTTATGTTTTCAGGAGGGGAAGAAACAGGCAAGTGGAATGACATACCAGGGCTGCCCTCTGCACTCTAATTGATTTTTCTGAGTTAAAAATAGAGGACAGACTATTTGTAAAATAGATTCCTGCTATGGGGTGGAAGGAAACAGATTAGAAAATCTAGCTTTAACTTGGAAGGAGCAAAAGACCTTTGTTTAGGAAAAGCGAGCTACCTTTTTAAAATACTTCTTTATACTGAATAATCACTTATCTTAATTTTTTTTTTTTAGCCTCATGCTCATTTGTACTTTTGTGACATATAGCAAAACACAGAATTGCATGCATTTCTTCCAACAGTTAGGTACTTTTACAATAGATTATTTAGTAGTCCTTTTCAAACAAGTTAGCAAGATTCATATGGTGGAAAAAAAATAACAATTAAAAGACTTTAATCAGATCTCTGGACTGTAATAGACAGCAAAACTTGTGTCAGAACATGATCTATGATTGTCACAGATTTACTATAAACTGTCTGGTTTCAGAAGTGGTCAAATTTATCCAAGTGCCCATCTATTTTTTTAGAATCATATGGTCACTGATTTCAAGTTTAAACAATGTTTTCTTTAATTCAAGGTGCTATTTTAACTGGACACACAAATGGTTACCATATCATTTTGTTCATCTGAACATAAAATGTATTTTTGTTATAAAAAAAAAGTTTTCCCTAAATTATGTAATATTTGTACTGAAAGACCGCATATCAGTGGACAATCTAAAGATCAGTCTGGGATGGGTCATAGACAATGTCAGTCATGTAGTAATGAGCTGAGAAATGATACTGGCACAGTCTAGATACCAGTCTGCAACTGACTATCTTATCACTCCTGCTGGTATGCCTGCAACATTCATAAAGTAACAATGAACAAGACTTTGGGTTGTTATTATTATTATAATCATAATTATTATTATATTATTCCAACATATTTAACATCAGTCCATAATGATGCATCATACAGGGATCTCAGTTCTTTGATAAAATCACAAATTCTCTGATTAAAAACCCCCAAATCTGCATTTTTTGGTGATTAAAATGAACAACCACTAATATATATACTAATATATATACATATATAATGTATTAGTTGGAAACAAATGTTTTATTGGCATATTTACAATTTTAAAGGAATTTGGAAGCCTACCAGTGCCTCAGTCACTATAATAAAATAAATTCTAAATACTTATAAATTTTGGCATTTGGTTCTGGATTTTTTTTATCATGGAAAATCAGAGCTCCCCCTGCCCCCTTCACTCACAAGGATGTGGATCTAGCTGCAGTTATCCCCTGCACTGCTTTGTGGCGCTGAGCAGCTGTGATATGCCAGTGCCCCTCACTCTCCACTCACAGCCCCTTGGCCCTGCTGGTGCCCCTCATTCCCCACTCATAGCCCCCTGCCAGAGGGGGCCCCTAGGGGCCTAGGCTATGGGGCCAGGGACCTAGGTCTGCAGCCCCCTGCAGCAGCACCTGAGCCCCAGCTGCTGTATGTGGGAGGTGGCAGCTGCTGAGGCCAGAGCAGTGTGTGGAGCCTGGCTCCCCCTCCCCCATGGGTGGCATGGTTGGAGTAGATCCCATGGTGGGTGCAGATGCAGGCTGCCCAACTGTGGGCTTGGGGCTCCCCGCCATGCTGCCCACCTTTTGGGGCCTCCATGGCCCAGTAGGCAAGACGCAGCACAGCAGGGCAGAGTGGGGCCAGGCAGAGAAGCTCAGTGCCACCACTGGAAGCCCTGCACTGGCACAGCAAGACACCCCCTGCCCATCCAGCAGCAGCAGAGGATACAACCCCACACCACCACCCCAACTGCTGCCTGGTGGGCAGGGGGTGCCTTCCCGGGGTGGCACAGGGCCCATGGCAGCAGCACTGAGTTCCCTTGCTTTGCTATGGCCTGCCGCGCTGGGTCCCAACTGCTGGGCCGCGGAAGCCCTGGGGGGAGGGCTGCAGCATGGGGAGCTCCAAGCCCGTGGCCTGCACCCACCTTATGCACAAATCATGCCTCTGCAGAAGTGTGAGCAGCAGCTTTTCCCTGCTCTCCGCTTGAGCAGAGTTGGGGAAGAGGAGTGGCTAGTCCCCAGCCCCAGCCAGCTCACTAAGGCCAGGTGGGAGCAGGGTTTAACCCCCTTTCTGGCCTACATGGGACCCCAGCCAAGGTCTGCCTTGGTGGAGTGCGGGGGAGCAGCAGCTCCTGCCAGACTTTCTTCAGAGCAGGCGTCTTGGCTAGACCCTGGCCTCATGGTTTCATAGTTAGTTTCATAGTTTCTAGGGTTGGAAGGGACCTGAGCAGATCATCTAGTCTGACCCCCTGCCATGGCAGGAAAGAGTATTGGGGTTAAACGACCCCAGCAAGGTGTTCATCTAACCTCTTCTTAAAAACCCCCAGGGTAGGAGCCTGCACCACCTCCCT